GCTAGAGTATCCAACGACTACCATTCCGAACCTAATCAATGGAAGATCGGAGTGTCCTCCCATTTTGCCCATGCCATGGGCATAGCTCCATCCAAGGATACATTCTGGACCACGTCACAACAGCCGGGCAATAAATACGGTAGGCTGACTTTTTTTCTACCCTGTAATGTTTACTTTACTTATTTTGTTAGATGTTTATCCATCACCAGTTATGAAAACCACTTTTCATCCAAAATATTAATGATCAATTACTATGAGTAGGAAGGTGGCTGACTTGTACAATATGAGCATGGAAAGTTTTCCAGCAGTGCGGGCAATAGATGGAAGCCGCAGTAAGTTCTTTCTACGCGCACTACTCTCTAAACTAAGCAGTCGATGTGAGGTAACTATGCAATGGATACAATCCCACTGGGGAGTTTCCGGAATTGAAAGAGCTGATAAACTAGCTGAGGAAGGTACACATGAAGAACAACCTGACGTACGAGTCTGTTATCAGCAAAAGACGAGAATAATCAAATCAATCAGAAAGTCACCAAACCCGGCGCAAGACAATTACCATATAATGGAAAGACCAGAGCAAGCCATTTTTCCACGACTTAGAACATGACACAATCGACTTCGCAGCCACATGTACACACAATTTAAAGTCAGCGAATCAGCCATGTGCACATGTAGATTAGCACCTGAGACAACAGATCATGTCCTCCAAGACTGTCACAAATACAACATATCAAGGCAAAACTTTTGGCCAAAAGAAACATCAGTGCAAGTCAAACTTTACGGCTCGCTGAGTGAATTACAACAGACAGTGAAGTTCATACAAGAGACAATATTGCAGATATAATCTATTTCAATCGAACGAGAAAAGAAAAAGAAGAAAAAGGTTCTTTCTAGTCTTCCTCCGTTTTTCTGCCTGTGCAACTCCGCTGACTGGCACGCTGTTGTACCGTGCCTCAAATATGTAAAAATGGCTCAGACACGAAAATAATGTGTGTGTGTGTGCGTGCGTGGGTTGGGTGTGTGTGTGTGTGTGTGCGCGTGTGTTTGTGTGTGTGTGGGGGTGGGTGGGTGCGTGTGTGTGTGTGTATATGTGTGTGTGTGTGAAAAATAAAAATAGCAAAAAAAAGACATTGGTCCTGTGCAGCAGCTTCCAGTGTTGCTGTGTTGATGCTAGAAGATTTGAGAGCAGTGTGGATAGTGTCCATATAACCCGTTTTCTGTCCTCCCTGGGACCTCTTTCCATGCTGGAACTCGTCATAAAATGCTATCTTTGGGAGGCGATAGTCTAGCTAGGCGACCAGCCCAACGCAGCTGATAATTCTTCAGTATCGTGTGGATGCTAGGCATGTTTGTCCTTTCAGGAAGCACATTATTTGGCCTCATATCTTGCCATTTGATTTTGAGCAACTTTCTGAGACAGATTATTTGAAACTGATTCAACCTTTTAGCATGATGTTGATACACAGTCCAGGTTTTGCAAGCGTAGAGCAGTACTGGAAGAACTAAAGCTATGTATACCTTTAGCATGGTCAGCAAGGAGATACCACTTCTGTTCCAGACACTGGTATATAGTCTGCCGATACTGTTGCTGGCCATTGAGATTCTAGAGTTGATTTCGTCATCGATGTTGACTCTTTGAGACAGGGTACTGCCAAGATACGTGAATTTATCGACGAATTTTAGCTTTTGATAATGTACGGTGATAGTGGGATCACAGTATTTTTTCCCCCCCCCGTAAGACTAATGTCGTCTTCACTGCAAAACAACGTTAGTCTTCAAGGAAAAAAAAATGTGATCCTGCTTTCACTGTAAAACCTGGTAGCAAGGATTGGTAGGTACATGTTCCACCTACAAAAATGGGAAATGCCTGCGCGGAACTTATAGCCTCTTCTAATCAAGTCAGCCGTACCCACATGTGGTGCTACCTGTTGTAACAGACATGGCTCTGGCGCATGGCGAGTCTCCATTGCTAAGAAAATGGACCCTAAAGGGGTAAAGTGCCAAACTATGGCCGGGGTAAGTCAGACAGAAACCCTTGGTAAAGTGACCCTCCGTAAGGTGCAGCCGATGCAGAGACCACCGTCGTGTAGACATGTCCCTATCCCCACCAAGGTCACAACCATTGAGCCCCCCCCCCCCTTTTTCCCTGTATAATCAACGGTGGAGAAGGAAAACACCCACAACCTCTGATCACTTGCAGGCAGTGTTTGGATGAACCAGAACACGGATAAGGAGACTCCGTAACTTCTCCCACCCCGCTTTTGGACTTTGGTCTTGTCCCGGACTTGATATTTGCGTGACATCTATCTTTACAGATTTTATTATTTTGTGTGCAGATTGTTGGTTGCTCGCCTCACAGGCAGAGGCAGTTTGTTTATTCTCGTCCCCCCCCCTACCCCCCCCCCCCCACCCCACCCTCTCCTTTAAAATTGGGCTCCGAAGCCTTGGGAGGGTGTGGGATAGGATGCAGTAATAGTACTCATTTTAAAATGTTTCATAGAGAATTTGTGGTTTCAAGAATTTGAGATGTATATAGGATATAATATTTGCAAGGGGGATAATCCATGACATCCCAATGGCGGAAGTAAGTTTGACCCCACCAAGACATCACACAGGGCCACTGACACAAAGTGCCACCATCCCGAGGAGGATCACCCGTGGAGAGGTACTAGAAACCCCGTTAAACCGTTAGGTTTTATTAAGGTTTGTCTTCCTCTGTCTCCTTTTCCACAGATCTTTCCAAAGATCACTACATGTTCCTGTCTCCGTCTTCTCATAATATGATCCCCAACCCCCATAAATTGATGAATGTATCTGATGTTTATAAGAAGTTTTCTTTGAACCCATTCCTCTTTAAAAACACCTCAGTTTATCTTTTTGTTTATCGGAGGAATTCTATAATTTCTTCTGTAAAATCACACCTAAAGGCCTTGAAAAATTGTTTATGTTGTTCATTAATTGTCCAGAATTCACAGACGTATGTTAAATATAAATAAAATAAATAATTATTGTACATTATCAAAGGATCCCCAAGCTTTCAAGACTTTTTTGTTAATGCTTTAAGATGGATTGTTTGCAGTTGCAACATAGTTTGTCCTGTATTCGCTGAAACCATTACCTAACATAAAAACATACATGCTTGCACCGTCTACTCGGTCATTCATGAGTGGCTCGTGTGTCATCAGTGCTTGTTTTACTTTTACTAACATACTCTCTCAACTGTATGGTCGGCAGGTAAATCAGAACCTTACCCAACCCTACAAGTCGTGGTGGCCACCCTCAGCAGAGGACCGGTCGGACCAGGAGATAGCATAGGCGGAACCAATCAATCCATTTTGATGAGGTAATACATTTCCTAAATAGACAGATTACAATAAGGGTAAAACTGCGTAGTCTCGAGGCATGATGACAGACCCGTCTGTGTAAATGACGGCATCACCCTCTAGAGCGTTCTCGAAAATCAAGGCTTGAACTTCTGCTTCCACAGCAGCCGGACTCTGTTGACTGCATTTTCTGTCTAGTTGGATGCAAACAAAAAGGGACGTATAGCACTCTGAAAGCACTTTCACCCTCTTCTCGCCGGGCTCTATATCCTCAAGTGAACATAACTGTAAAATAATGTCCTCGTCCTGACCTATCCACGATTTGCCTCTTTTTAACCTGCTGCCTTTTAAAAAGCCTCTGTACATGTAAAATATAATATATATATATATATATATATAAATATATATATATATATATATATATATATAATATATATATATAACAGCATCTTCCGGTAATTTTTGTTTCTCCACCAATGCATTCACTTCTGCATCAACCATCGATGGCGCCAAATCCTGACACTGTCTTGTCAGGGTGATAACTACCACACAGTACTGCTTGTATTCATTTGGTATTGGTATCCATCCCTCTCCCGGGTTTATGTCCTGAAGAAAATCACCATTAAAGTACTTGTCCTATTGTTTGTACTGTGTGGTTGTTCAAAGAGAGCCAAGTTGCAGTCGCTTTTGCAGGGTTAATCCGTGCTCCGGAGGTTTGACACCAATCTGCTTTGTGTCCCAGTCGCTTCTGGAGTTCTTCTACAATTCTGCCCCTGTCCATGCCTTGGCGGTACGCTAGTATGTCATCAGCGTATGAGAATGTTCTTCCTTAACTTGTGATTTGATATTTTGTCACCTCGGTAGTGAACAAATATTGAAGAGGACTGAGGATAAATGTGATTCCTGGGGCAATCCTGGTTGTATGGTTTTAAACTCCATCTTCCTCATCTGAAAACAGCCTGACTTTCGAAAAGTACCGCTGCTATCCATTTAATGAGTATGGGTGAAATGTTGATATTTAGGATCTGGTGTGCGAGTTTTTCAAAGAGCACCTTGTTGTATACATCTTACAGCACTTGTTTCCGCTCCTGTATAGAAACCTTCATAGACATCCTACAATAAAAACGGCAGCATTACTCCACATATGCCTATGTGACCGATATCATCCTAGTGTTGATAGTAATCTACCTGTTGATGTTTTTTTTTTTTTTAAATTGATGAGTAATTGTCCTTGATACTGTTTTTGTTCTAGCAGTTTTTCCATGGTGTTTTGCATGATGATAGCTGGGTAGCTGCTTATAGCTTCCAGACTTGGGTAGATGTATTCAATAACTGTGAAGCCATCTTTTATTTACTGTGTCCGTCCTTATGCTATTGCTGTATTCATTGCGCAGTTCTGATGGTTCCTCTTCATGTAGTTTAGAAAAGTTTTTATGACGGACTCTGGACCCAGTGCTGTGTTTATTGAGGCACTTGATTGTGGTGATTATCATCATTTCATTTACAATGATTTAGAGCTCTTCTTAGTAAGTAATAGTTTCAAAACATTTTTCTACGATTTATTCACATTTTGTTCGACAAGTATGGTTTGTTTATTGCAAAATGAAAATGATCGAAAATGACCACACATTTGCTTTCATCCGTTCTGTACCAACTACCATTCATGTTCCTGAATGTCAGGCAAGTTATATAGTCGTGATATAATTGTCATAGATTGCTGTAGCCGCCAGAAAAGTTTCAGTGATTTTTTACGACCCACTCTCTCAAAGAAATCTTCCCACTTTATATTTTTGCTCTGACATGCTACAGTTTCGAAACGAACCGTCACTCCTTTCATGGTTTGTATCAAGGCACTGAGCTCATGGGTGCTGCCTGTCTTTCGTGATTTTTGCCATTCTCTGACTGCCTGCCTCTTTGCTTGCCAGCATTTTTCAACTTCTATATTCCACAATGGAGGATGTGATCTAGGCTTCTTGTATCGAATGATTTTAACAGCTGTTCTTCTGATTCTGCTAGTGATGTTTCTCTGTAGTGGTTAGTGTGTTAGTAGTTTGCGTTTTTTAGCACAACTTCTCATGGAAGTTGGTGACTGCCATGGTAGCCAAGGACCTCCCAGGGGCATATGGAGGCCAGAGTTGGGGAAACAAGAGCTAAGTCAATAACACTATCTGTATCACTAATGCCTAGGGCTGGTCAAGTGTTTCTTCCATCACTGAGACATGTAACATCAGTATGTATCATTGCCTTCTACGAGTCTTTCCTTTGTGCATTAGAGCGGATGCTTCAGCATTGTCTTCCTCCGGCATTTAAATCACAACAGAATATCATGTGGACCATGCTTTTAATTGTTTAACTTAAGAACGCCATCACTAAAAGTACACGATGTAGGAGGCTGTGGATGTATGTGACTGCCAGGCATGGAAAATAGGCAGAAGACGATCACAAGAAGGGGGTGGGGGACACAGATGTTTGCATTCATAGGTTATGAACACCTTGCTCGTAAACGTGTGTGCCTGTTTGTCTTTTTTTTTTTTTTTTTGGCTGTGTTTTCGAAATCTTTTGTTTGGCTGTCTTCTTACTTCTGGGGTTTCTATTTGAGCTTAACTGTTTCATTGCAGCGTCTGTAAGGTCAGGCCTTGTGTGGTAATGATGTCATGTGTTGCAGGTGTGTTTAAGGTTAATTTGTCTGTTGCAGGTGTGTTTAAGGTTAATTTGTCTGTTGCAGGTGTGTTTAAGGTTAATTTGTCTGTTGCAGGTGTGTTTAGGGCTAATTTGTCTGTTGCAGGTGTGTTTAGGGCTAATTTGTCTGTTGCAGGTGTGTTTAGGGCTAATTTGTATGTTGCAGGTGTGTTTAGGGCTAATTTGTCTGTTGCACTATTTCCCAGGTGCTGTGGCGAGTCTGGTTTGATATTAAAACCATCGAAGCCGGCACGAGCAATCGACGACCAGATAACGGAGGCGAGTATTGATTGAAGCTGACTATTTGCATTATTTCTATAATAACATCTCTGTGTCGAGGTAAAGCATACCATGGTAACGGGAATGTTGTGAATAGCAAGTGAAGGTCACATGTTCAGAGCTTTCAGTGTAATATGCACCTAGTGCTATCCTCGCATTTATATAAATCAACCAGCACTCCGTGATGGTGCTATCAATGTGACATCGTAACTTTTACTTTGCAACACATTTTATGGTACCCAATGATGTCTGGGTCAACCTGGTAGTTCTCATCCACTTTCACATTAGGCCTCAGTGAGGATTCGGGTCTAGGGGCTTCTGTTGCTCCCTGCACATATCTAGTAGCTACCTGGTGGAGACGATCATGTTTACTGTTTATTTCTGGGCCACAAACCCACACTGTTGTTCCGGGTAAACGTTTTCTGCTAGAATTTAGTCTTTTCATGATCACACGAGCAAAGTTTTGTCAACGTAACGTTTACAATTCTCCTGTCTTCCATATTCTTATATATTCTGGCATATCTCTAATTTCTTAAGGCATCGATGTTTCTTGCCAGCATTGACATATTTTTTTTTTTTTTGCAGCTCAGGAAAGATAACTTGCTTTATGCATTTCAAAATGTCGGGTGGTATACCATCGTCTCATGGGGTCTTGTACGTGGGAAGCTCGTCTTTGCTGATTTTTGTGACAGTAGGCTCCAAGTCTAGTTCGCCCAAGTTGGGCACACACTTCGTTGCGTTGAAAGCATCGACGCTTACATGGAAGCTTGTAGAGTTCTGAGTAGCATCCACTCTATGTCCCAACTGCTTTGTATGATATGTTATCACCTGGATAGTGGCTTATGTGAGCGAGGTTACATGGGATACTTTTTTTTTTACTGTCTAATAGCCTTCTTGATGATATCTTACGCAGCCTTTGTGTAGCCTTTGTTGTCCGCCTTGTTTATTGCAAACCATACAGAGAATTTTAATGTGCTTCCATCTGTCACTAGCATCTGCGTTTGATATGTGGGACAAAGCTGTACTTAATTATTTTTGTTAAACATTTTCTCCATCTTTCTTTAGATTTCAAATTTAGCCAGTGTTAATGCACGGCAGTCCGGGCGCCTTTATCGATGCATTCTAGTTGGAAGTATCTTCACTTTGCTGCCTACCAGGAAGTGATTTGTGTCACAATCTGTGCTCTGATAGCTTTAGGTGATCTTGACAATGCGATGATCACTACGTTGAGTGAGAACAACATCCAGCTGGCTACCTTTATCTGCGGCTTCTGTTGTGTTGAAGCTGTTTAGCCACGCTGGAGTGACCTCTCTAAGGTACAGGCCTGGTCGCGTTGAATTAAAGTACAGACTGTTGCCCAGGCAGCAGGTATCCCTATCTCTACGTCACCGGAAATGTCAAGGGAAGGGTAAATGCCAGTACAAATTGACCACAGATACGTTGCAGGATTGTTCCTAATGGTATTGCTCCCAAAGTAGGGTATTGCCACAAGGCAGTGGAGGTTTCAGATTAGTCTTACGGCACTTCTCTTAGATGATCTGGACTTCCGTGCTGGCAAGCCTCATCTGCATGAGGTTTGATATCAATAGTTGTCCTTCTCCTAGATGAGCTGCTAGTTTGCTTTCGCTCCCTCTCCTGTTGTTTAATCAGTTCTGCCACGTGAACCCAGGAGCTGTACTCTTGCTGTCAGAGGATATTTGAGACGCACGCCTTGGGAGTATTTCCTGGGGAATAAGAACTTACACGCTGCCATTATATCTAATACCCTCTAACTACTGAAACGTACTACAGTCGAGAAACTATTGTTAGCCCATCCTTCGACCCATTCTGAGTCACAATCTGTGATCGGATAGCTTTAGGTGATCTTGATAATGCGATGAATCACTACGTTTAGTGAGAACAACATCAAACTGGTAACTTGGACTGGCCAGTCCAAATTGGGGAAAAGCTAAGAGGCTTCTGCCGCTGCACTAGAACCTTTTATAGACACTGTGACTTCTTTTCCGGAGAGAACCAAATGGGCCAGAATATTTTCGCAAGTGCAGCTAAATCACAAAATTGTAAATAGGCTTCTCCAGCCTGTCACACAAAAGCAGAATTTTATGACAGCAGTTGTTGTGTATATTCAAAATCAGAGCGATTGTGTGCCATTTATTACCTATTCTTTATTAAAACTTTATTCGCAGACATTAACTATGTACGAACTAACATACTCCTATATTGATACAATAAGGAAAATATCATATAATTTTACAATTTTGAATATCCAATCACTTTATCACTAACATGAATACTTGAGGAAAGTACACAACTCGGTCAATGGGAGATGGGTAATAGTCTATGCCTGGTACTTGGCGTCTCCCATATTTGCATTCAAGAGATACTGATTTGTAAATTTGAGAACAAGTGAATTGATCTTCCAGATGATTTCTGTATTTTTCTGATTTTGTTTGAAGCATTTAGCCGCAGATGAATTGTTTATCATTCGGTCAAGGCGTCCACGTCGCTGCTTAAAATGGACGTATTTGGGAGTAAGGTTGGCACAGCCAGGCATCATGACACACCAGACTATATCAGAGGGCTAGTCATTCAGCAAAGGATCTGACTATCAGTCGTGCGGGCTGATGAATATGTCGAGAATGGTTAGGGCAGGGGAAAGCGGGAGGGGAACACCTGCGAAAGTAACCACAGTGAAGATAAACTCTTTCATAACTCATGCAAGATTTAATTGGGAAAAAGTAAAAAAATGTTTCAAATTAGTTTATACCAATGACCACAAGCGTCCTTTTTCTCTCTCCTTCTCCCTCCTCACCCTCTTTGTGTCTTGCTTTCTCTCTCTCTCTCTCTCTCTCTTTCAACTTTATCTCTCTCTTTCAGAATGTTTACTTATAATGTTTACTTATCATGCACGCTAACACGGTATACTCTAAAATAACCAGATGGCCTTTGGCAACAACACTGGCGTGTCTGGTGAGGTTTGGACTACCTACTCCACCAACGGTGATCTCCTGTATGGAGTTATCTTCGCTGCAGGCTTGACCAGAGATTACGTCATCAGCCCTCGGTCGGCCGGATTCCTTTCAGTGTTTGCTCACAATGTCAGTTGTTATCTCACTGCGTTACTGAATGAATGAGTGAATGAATTAATCAAGAAATGACATACATGCACTCCGGACATTCCCACACGTATTTCATCTCCTTCTGCAGTAGCCAACGAATTGTGGATATGCTAAAAGTACCTGTTGCAACTTGATTACAAGTTAGCTTATATTCGTTATAGCTTAACTTTACCTCCACAAAATTGTATCTTGATTATTGTGCAATAAAATACACAAGGATCAGGGAGATCAAGGGCTGTGTATGTCCGATCTCTCGCAGTGGAGCACACCAGCTGTTCTGTCTCCAGAGCTAGGTCTTGCCCTATGAGTTCTTGCACTTATAGGGTGAAAGCGGCACGTTTAAGGTTGCACGTTCCTTGATCTGGAATTCCCTTCCACAGTAAACACCGTTTCCATGACCGAAGAGGCACAAAACACAACGGATCTAGAGAGACAACCTCGATTTTTTTTTTAACCTAAGCCTACGGTGTACCTATTTGCCTGTTCGCTGAATGACTGGCGGTCATACAGTCGTGAACGTAGAACGTATATTTAGCGGGTGGGGTGGCGCTAGTTATATGGACCTCGTCAGGACATCCCCTGCCTCTTCCCTAGCAGGCAGGCAATACTAGGGTGACCATTTACTTCCTGCACTAAAAGAATATCTTCTATGGATTTTGTATTTAATAATAAAAAGAATCATCGCCGGAGCTACGGAGTGCGTGCTCTGTGCTTGTTACCTTCTTCAGGGGTAATGGAGAGAATGGGAGGATGAGAAGATGATGAAATTGAGAGAGGAGAAGGCATAGAAATATGAGTCAGGCGAAAAACAGAGCGTCTGGGTTTAAAGCATATTAGAGTGGGTTACTGGAATCGTCGTAGAGTGCTCAAAGAGGACCTGTACTGGAGTGACTGATTTATGATTTTGTTAGGCTATCCTCCGACTAACGGTCGGTAAAGATAGCGGCCGCAAAATATCCTTTCGAGGCACAGTCACGTGTCAATTGCGCACTAGCGGTCACGAGCACACCACGGCTGCTGCTCGTGGGTCCTAGCCATCTAGTTTAGCCCCATTCCACGCCGCGTGAGCGGCGTGGGGGACACCTGGCGGTGGCTGTAGTCACCGGAAATCCGGCCACGAGACTGTGGCTCGAAATGATATTTTGCTGCCGCCATCTTTGCCGACCGGTAGTCGGAGGATAGCCTTTTGTTATCATCATGCTGCAGGAATTATACATAGATAGATATGAGTGTCCTGGATACATTAGTTACATAAATCCCACCTGACAGGGAAGACATGGGCAATGTCTGCTGGTGAAGAATGGGTTAAAGCATGTGGTTCTTGACCTGGGCCAGTGGAATCATCGTACACTAGAGGTTCAGGGTATACAAATCATATCACTACAGTGTAATTAGTACAGCCCTCGCAGATTTAAGTGACACTTTGTTTTAATCCTCAGTTTACAGACAGTGTCATCTACAGCAACGGAAACAAAACCCTCCTTAGCTTCACTGCGGGCACTAACTTCACTATCAGTGCCAATGAGTGCTACACAAACGGCGAGCCATTTTGCCTGTTTTACACAGCACCAGTTCTTGTGTTTGGGTAAGCAATTTTTGACTCTTGAATTATTCACCGCAAGAAAGGGAAGTCCCGTGTCGGCGAAGCTGGGCCGATTTGTAAAGGTGCTGGTTACCAAATAAATATCTGTAGTTTTCGGGTCTGTTGGTAGTTTTCAGGTCTGTTTGTAGTTTTCAAGTTTGTTTGTAGTTTTCATGTCTGTTTGTAGTTTTCTCTTAAAAAACACGCGCGTACAATTTAAAAGAACAACTGAAGGTTTAAGATATGAAAGCCTTATCAGTTTAACATATCAACATGGTTAGCGGATACTAAGTCAGATATATCTGGGTAAAACAAGAAACAGAAAAAGTCAGATATATTTGGATGAAGCACACACACACAAAAACATGACTTCGCGCCCACCGGACCATAATTATAACTTACGCTGTCTTCAGCTGGGTTGAACTTTGTAATATGTCTACCTCTCTCTCTCTCTCTCTCTCTCTCTCTCTCTCTCTCTCTCTCTCTCTCTCTCTCTCTCTCTTTCTCGCTCTTTCTCCCCCCCCCCCCTCACTAGACCAACAAAAATAACAACAGTGAATGCCATCAGAAAATTGTCTTAAATAATATAGGTAAATAGACAATGACAAATAACATGAAATCACAACAAAATGACGGAAAGAGTAAAAACTAAGAAATACATAGTTTATACATTGATAGACTTCGTAATTCTGCGTCGAGTTGTTAAAGAAACACGCATTCTTTCAAAGTGTAAAAATCCTACATGAACAGAACAGATGAATGACAAACAGGATAGATAGACTTAATAATGTTAACCTTCATAATTATGTTGTTGTTGATACACCTGGTACAATATAGAGAAGGAAAGGGGAGCGAATACACAGTAGACCCATGTTATGAAAACAGAGGCAACAAGCACAGTGACAGGCCATGTATATTAACAATCGTCCTGACTCCTGACACTATAACAGTGGAGTTGATCAAATCTGTATCCAACCCCAGCATTGACACTATCACAGAAATGTGCGTTAACATCGACTATACTGGATTCATTGCCAATGGTTTGAGAACATCCATGCTCAGAAACTTGTCCAAGACACCAAAAGATTACAGCCGTGTTAGCTCGGTGAGAAATTTTAGGATTCTCCGTAAAGTCGGACAAGAAAGAATAAAAATCAGACAAATTTGGATTCCTTGATATGGACAGAACCAGACAAATCATAGTTTGTTTAATGATGATGACTGAAATACATATATAAGTTCAGAAAATGTTTCTTTTCTTCTTCTTCTTCCCGTTGAGCGGGTGAAAACTCTGAGAAAAGTTTTCGTTGTTCGTCCACTTCGGGTCTCTAGTCGTGTTCCAAAATCTCAACGTGGCGTGTGCACATTCATTTAACATATTTGAATCATGTGTATGCATACTGTTGGTTCCTTGCTCTGAAGCAGAAACACCCCGACTTTAAAGGAAGCTCCCAATTAGTCGAATCTTACGACATTATTTTAGGTAGGCAGAGGGTTTGTTCTTATTTTCCCCACAATGGGACCCCGGAACCCACACGGGAAACAACATAAGTTTTATAGATTATAGGATAGCTTAAGACAGAGTACAACATGAACAATTCATTTCGTTTCTTTGTGTATAGGATTATATTTAATAGATATCAGACTAGCTTTAATTAGAACAATTAGATACGAAAATACTCGTTAGACAACGACATTTTTAACGGTTTTTGACGGTATTTTTTTTTTTTTTACAAACCTTGCCTTGATGAAGGCTGGAAGACAAGAGGGACAGCAGACTAGACTGCTAAGCACATCACTGCCACACATCACTGCCACACATCAGTGCCACACATCACTGCCACACATCACTGCCACACATCACTGCCACACATCACTGCCACACAACACTGCCACACATCACTGCCCCACATCACAGCTACACATTACTACCGCACATCACTGCCACACATCATTACTGCTACACATCATTACTGCCACACATTACTACCGCACATCACTGCCACACATCATTACTGCTACGCATCATTAGTGCCACACATCACTACCGCACATCACTCATTGCGTTAGGAATTGTACTTAATCACAGGTTCACTTTACTACAACCTCTGCCACAACGTTACAGTCTATCAAGATTCTGATCATTACTGAAAGAAGTGATAAAACGCCCGATAATGTGCAAAAGATCATAATTGGTGGGTTACCAGAAATGTTTTCTCATGAATTAATATAATAGAAGAAGCAGCAAAGAAAAAGATAAAACGGACTAATTCATGTCTAACATTGACTTCTCCAAGGTCTCGCCAGGTGGTGCTGCTAGGAGACATGGATAAATGGGTGCCTATGTCAGAGAACCGCGTTGTGCGAATCTGGCAAATTAGTTCTGGCATAGCAGCTACGCTCCGTGGCATGCCAGGGGAAATGATCAGTTTCTCATATGCTGTTGAAGGAGTGGTCTATGAGAATTCTCAGCAGGCTGATCAAGTTGGGTGTGCAACTTTCTCTGTTATTAGTTCGGTAAGTGCTCCGCTGAAATACATTACACTGACATAATTATTACCATTATTCACATCATCGTCACTAGTCACGTCGGTGAACCATTACGACCCACTCTCGCACAGAAATCTTCCCATTTTATATTTTTGCTCAGACATGCTACCGTTTTTAATTATACGGCTTAATCTGTCATCCTTTTTTGGGATGCAATTTTTCGTTATTTGAAGCCCAACTCTGGCTCTTGCCAGGGGCCGCAATAAAGCCCGGCCATTAATATGGTCTAATAGCTGAACGCGGTTTCTAGGACCTCTCCACAGGTGATCGTCATCCATATGGTGGCACGTTGTGTCATCTGGTGTTTATCGCTTGTGTGATGTCCTGGTGGGGTAAAAGAAGATACATGCTACAGTTTTGAAACGAACCGTCACTCCTTTTATGTTTGTATCAAGGCATTGGGCTCATGGGTGCTGCCTGTCTTTCGTGATTTTTGCCATTCTCTGACTGCCTGCCTCTTTGCTTGCCAGTATTTTTCCACTTCCATATTCCACCATCGAGGCTGCCATCTAGGCTTCTTGTATCGGATGATTTTAGCAGCTGCTCTTCTGATTCTGCTAGTGATGTTTCTTTGAAGTGGTTAGTGTGTTAGTAGTAGTTTGCGGTTTTTTTAGCAGCACTTCACATAGAAGCCTGTGACTGCCATGAAAACCAAGGACGTCCCAGTGACATATGGAGGCCAACCTTATGGTAACAAGAGCCAATTCAATAATACTGTTTGTATCACCAGGGCGAAGGGCCTGTTCGAGTAGTTTTTCCATCCTTTATACATAAAATATCAGTGTGTAGAGGTGCCTACTTCAGGTCTCCACCTTGGGGATCATGGCGGACGTTTCTCCACTGTCACCGTCTGGTATTGAAATCACCACAGAATATCACCTGGCCCATGCTTTGGATTATTTCACTTAAGAAACGCCATGACATACTTTGGTTGCCGACATACACGTTAATTAAAGTAAAAGATGTTACCTGTACATGGATAGCGAACATTTTTATTGATCTATGTAGACTTATCTACTAGGGTTGCTATGGTGTTGTTCCCCTGGAGAATAACTTGTCTGTGGTGTTATCTGTTGTAAAATGCTTAGAAGCCAGTACACTTTATTTTTGCATCCCTGAGTTGTGTTTCTTGTAGAGCGATGATGTCTGCAGGGTATATTAAGCCGTCAATAAAGGTCGTAGTTGTTTTGGACTGGCACAATAAAGGAAGGCCATAAAACACATGGAGAAGAAAGCTCGAAAATGAACTTAAAAATATGGGGAGGACATGGTGAGAGCTCCATACAATTGCGAAGGATAGAACGACTTAGCGTGAGTTTGTTGAGGGCCTATGCTCCATTGGCGTATAGAAAGACTATGCTCCATTGGGTAAAGAAAGGCAGAAGAGGTGGGTCGCTTTTACTTCCAAGGATGTTACCTGGCACCCATTTTATAATGGATTACCTGGCAGTCAAGGCCAGTTTTAAAAAATCCGACTCAATGTGGATTCGAACCCAAGACATTCGGGCCGGTATTCGAGCGTCTAGCCACTACGCTATTGTCTGGTAGGAATTTGTACTAACAAATTGAGTCCTACGTAGGCCTAGCATTATGTGTGATCTAGGAAGTGTTCTGAGAAGTAAAGACGCCGGGGCTGATATTTACTCCGTTATCTGACAGGCATCGTTTGGTCTTTAATGTCTGAGCTAGCATCATATACCCAACACTGGTCAAGGCACAGACAAGATTGCTTGTTTGACATTATATAAGTGTTCTCTCTAACTAGTATAACTGGTAGTGACTTAAACCGTTTAGTATAACTGACACAAATAGAACAGAGAGAAGTGCAATCAATGTTTTGTATATCATTGTTTTTTCGCCTTGTTTTTTTTTTTTTTCTTCACTCCCTCTTTTACCGCTTTGGAAGTCGAGAGACATATAACGTTCTACTACTTGTTCTTCTAGTCGCCTCATTCAAGACACGTCGCGCTATTGCAGAGTTTTTCTAATTTTATATATCTTATATATAACATATACATGTGTTATGAGAAGAGGGAAAATAGAACATGTTGTGACAACTGGACAGATCTGTGGAAGGAGGGATAGAGGAAGACAACGAGATAAGATTCTTGACAGTCTTGTTGCATGGCATGGAGGTGTGTCGGCACACGAACTGATACATGCTGCAGGAGATCGTGGATTATGGAGAGGCATGATCGCCCACGCCAGTCGGCAAGGCACCTGAAGATGATAATGAGGATGTCCTTGGTCTACCTTGTGTTTTACGTATTTCTCCTGTTTTCCCGTGTCTTGTATGGTTTCACAAGGCATTCTATCTAAGTGGACAAACCCTTCGATTTGCTGTATTATTCAGTCACTATAATTATCGTTACTCATTGTTTTGCTCCACGTTATGCATGATACTGACATATATTTTTGTTATCTCATGGACAGGATCTAACCCCCGGTGTACAACTCAATGTCTCTACCACAACAACCGCGACAACATGGAAACCGACATTGCCTCCAGGTTTTGACTGTAGGTTCAAACCACCACCTTTCACTCCGACACCAGCCGCCACATAATACAGTTAGAAAGCCATCCACCTAGAATGCGCTAGTACCTACTGGCACCAGTTGAACTTTATCACTGAAAGATGATTGTTTTTTTGTTGTCTGATAATTATGGAAGTGCAGTTGTTCTATGTATAATTGTTATTTAGTTTTTGTCCTGTCAGTTCAATCGGACTGTCTGTGACCACCAACGCAAAAACAATTTTCTTTTTAATCAGCCTTAGAAGCTAAGTTTGTAAACCTGTGTCATAGTTTAACGAGTTTTTCAGACTTACATTTACGAACATTTGTTATTTGTATAATAGTGAAAGTCTTTGTTGGCTTTTCGTGTTAAAACTACAAGTGTTTGTTGTTTGTTTAACTGTGAGTGAGAGTGGTGGTCAGTCCCATCAGGACCGCACAACGAGCCACCAAACACCCAGTGACATAAAGTGCCTCCATTTGGATGAGGATCACCCGGGCAACAGAAACCCGTTCAACCGTGTTTGTAGTTTATCAAATAGTGAAAAAATTCGTGAGTGTTTATGATAAAACTACAAGTATTTGTTGTTTGTCTCACAGTGAAAGTATTCGCTAACGGTTGACGTCTGTTTTCTGCCATCGCGGTCACTCAAGGTTCATTATGTCCCTCAAGTTGCTGCAATGTTTCCTGCACGTTTATTTACAGATAGTCTCCCACTGTGTGTGTCTGTAGACATCTGCGACAGATAGTCTCCCACTGTGTGCATCTTTAGACATCTGCTACAGATAGTCTCCCATTGTGTGCGTCTTCAGACATCTGCGACAGATAGTCTCCCACTGTGTGCATCTTCAGACATCTGCGACAGATAGTCTCCCATTGTGTGCGTCTTTAGACATCTGCGACAGATAGTCTCTCATTGTGTGCGTCTTCAGACATCTGCGACAGATAGTCTCCCACTGTGTGCGTCTTCAGACATCTGCAACAGATAGTCTCCCACTGTGTGCGTCTTTAGACATCTGCGACAGATAGTCTCCCACTGTGTGCGTCTTCAGACATCTGCGACAGATAGTCTCCCATTGTGTGCGTCTTCAGACATCTGCGACAGATAGTCTCCCACTGTGTGCGTCTTTAGACATCTGCGACAGATAGTCTTCCACTGTGTGCATCTTCAGACGTCTGCGACGGCCTCCCACTTTGTGTCTTCAGACATCTGCTACAGATAGTCTCCCACTGTGTGCATCTTTAGACATCTGCGACAGATAGTCTCCCACTGTGTGCGTCTGTAGACATCTGCGACAGTTAGTCTCCCACTGTGTGCGTCTGTAGACATCTGCGACAGATAGTCTTCCACTGTGTGCATCCTAGACATCTGCGACAGATAGTCTCCCACTGTGTGCATCCTAGACATCTGCGACAGATAGTCTCCCACTGTGTGCGTCTGTAGACATCTGCGACAGATAGTCTCCCACTGTGTGCGTCTGTAGACATCTGCGACAGATAGTCTCCCACTGTGTGCGTCTTCAGACGTCTGTGACAGATAGTCTCCCACTGTGTGCGTCTTTAGACATCTGCGACAGATAGTCTTCCACTGTGTGCATCTTCAGACGTCTGCGACGGCCTCCCACTGTGTGTCTTCAGACATCTGCGACAGATAGTCTCCCACTGTGTGCATCTTTAGACATCTGCGACAGATAGTCTCCCACTGTGTGCGTCTGTAGACATCTGCGACAGTTAGTCTCCCACTGTGTGCGTCTGTAGACATCTGCGACAGATAGTCTTCCACTGTGTGCATCCTAGACATCTGCGACAGATAGTCTCCCACTGTGTGCATCCTAGACATCTGCGACAGATAGTCTCCCACTGTGTGCGTCTGTAGACATCTGCGACAGATAGTCTCCCACTGTGTGCGTCTGTAGACATCTGCGACAGATAGTCTCCCACTGTGTGCGTCTTCAGACGTCTGTGACAGATAGTCTCCCACTGTGTGCGTCTTTAGACATCTGCGACAGCCTCCCACTGTGTGTCTTCAGACATCTGCGACAGATCGTCTCCCATTGTGTGCATCCTAGACATCTGCGACAGATAGTCTCCCACTGTGTCTGAAAATTCATGACCAGGTAAGATCATAATATACTCGGGTAAAAAAAAAAAGAGTGGGTGGGGTTAATTGAAAAGGTAAATATACACTGCTTGAAAACAGAGCATGTACAACGTCACTAAATTTAGTATGAGAATGGAGGTGGAGGCAGTAATGGCAGCTTTCCGATGGCTTGATAACAGCAAGCTCGACATGTGATTGTAACAGACTAACAGAGCATGCTTCAGAAATTTGAAAACTGGTGTCCAGCGATCAGAGTGGCTTGCCTCCCTCGATAAGACCCAGAGCAAGAGCATATCTCAGATCTGTCCATGTTATTCAGGCTAACAGGTTAGCTGCTGCCGCTCCAATGGG